AAGAGAGAGATGCTCGTCCTCTTTCTCTTCCTTGCTCTGCCTTCGAAACTTTGGCTTCTTGCTCTGTTCAAATTTTGGCCTTCCTCAAGACTTGCAATCAAATTCTTTCACACAAGTCTCTTTCAATCTTCATCTACTGATTTTGGCATATTCTCTGCCAACATCGGCTGGTGCCAATTTTTAAATTTCTTCATCAAAATTCCTCAATTTTCGCAAAACAATTCATGGGAATCTAACATCCCAGATAATTCCTTAGCTAAAAACCTTAAAAGCTTCAAAAGCAGGCAATAAGACATTTTATAAAATGCTTATCCATTCTTCCCCTTCTCTAATTAAAGCAGGATCAAGTTTTCTCCACATAATTAGTAGTAAAAACATAATTCTCTCTCCGCAACAAGCAGACCAAATCCATCAATGACAATTCAAAAGCCCAGAGAGAGTCACCTTACTACTTTGTTTCTCTTTTTAGAAATTCTGGATCGTCTTCTTCATCATCTTTCATTTCCTTTGGCTTATCTTTTTGGACCAGTAAGATCAAGAGAAAAATCAATATCCCTCTATACAAATAATAGACTTACTGGTAGTTTCAATCAGTAACTTTTCTAAGCTCACTGTTATCTTTTAAATGGTAGTTAAATCAATATCATAAACATCAAAATAATTCAATAAATTAGCCATAGCAGCAATCATAGTGGACTTTCCAGTTTCCCTGGTGGACCATAAAGAAGGATAAACCTCTTTTCCAAGCTTTCTCTTATTTTATTGGCATATAATCTTTCCCTTTTAACTAAACTTTGATCAGATCATTCTTTATCTGTTTTCATCTTTATACCCATGGCCAAACTGTCAAAACGACGCAGGATGCTCAAACACGACATGGCTCCATTTAGACTCTTCCATCCGTACCAATCTTGCTTGGAATTATTAGTAAAAGCTTTCTTTTGCCGATTTCTAACTGCAGTTGGCCTTCCCTTCCTTGATAATATGATCTATGTAAGACTTAATAATGAATCTCTTATATCGTCCTATGGACAGTGGAGTTTGAAAAACCTGCTTTCATCCAATTCCGGATAGAAAGTAAACTGCTTCGTTTTGGTATCCTCTTTTTATTGAAGTCCACCCAAAACTTTTATTCGCATTAAAATCATCAGAGATTTGTTCATTGTGATCCCATTGTAAGTAACACAGACTTTCCCATCTTTGACTACATCAGCTTTAAGAACCGCTTTGGCGCCCTTGATGAGTTTGGTGCTAAGATATGTTTTGAATGGAGGCGTAGACCTCGCTGCGTCGAAGGTCTTCGCCGGTATACTTAATCAAAGATGAATATGAATAATATGGGTAGAAGAATGCTAATAATCTTTTGGACTATATTGTATCCAATATAGCTGCGAAGTTCATAAGGGAGTATTGCTAAAACACAGCCCAAAAGCAAACATTACGGCCAGCAGTTGCTGAGGCCTAAATGAGTAAATAGCTCTGTTGATCATTTTTTTTTGGGTCTTAAGGGCAAGTAGTTTCCTGTTTTTGGAGTAGAAGTTGGTAAGTGTGTTTTAATATTTTTAGATAGATAGGGATTCTGAAACACTTGTGTTGGAGCTATTTATATAGGGAAAAAACTTCGCGGAATGAAGTGTGTTTGCTCTTTTCGTTGGTGTGGGGGGGTGGGGGGGAGGGGTGGTTGGGGAGGTGGGGTGGGGGTGATAAAGAAGGTAGTAAGACTTGTTCATTTCTTGGAATTCAAGAATAGATTAAAATAAATAATTTGTTGCTTTTTCCCACTTGTTTCAGAAAATAATTTATATTCTTTAGTGATTGTTGAGTAATTAGTTGTCTTAATGGCTTGTTAGCGTCTTACCTGATTAAAAGGAAATAAATTATCACAACTCATTGTTCAAACTCTAAATACTAGTATAAAATGTTACAACCAGCTGAACACTGTAAATAATAGAGGTAATTACTAAAAGCATCAATCAACTAAAAAAAAATAAAAAAGGGTTTTTTTAGTGAACGAACTTTAATGATTGACGTGATGCAGTCCGCTATTAACGAAGAGATGCGACCGCCAGCAATAAAAATTTCTCGTGAAACCTTGGTAAACTTAGCACTAGCGATTGAAGTGGACATCGTCGCTCTATTTTGCGCCAAGAATTAGCACCAAACAAGGTATACAGAATAGCTCCGACGTAATTTGTTCGGCTATATTTGGCCGCCAAATATTTGGCGGGAATTATAACGACAGATTAGCAACGAGTGTGCATTGCTTGCGATGACCAAAATTTAATTTAATTAGCGACGATTTAAACTATTAATTTTTTTTTATTAAGTGACAGTGCTTGTTTCCCCTCGTCATTAAAATAGCAAAGGATTGTATTTTAATTTTAAGCGAACCGATCTAGTCAGCCGCTAACGATTATTCGCCTTCCTCTCTCGCGCGTAGACTAATTTCAGTCTTACGCCTCTCCTCTCTCTCTGTAGCCTCTCTCCCTCTGTCTCATCCATCAGGCAAAGTTCTGATGCCAGTCGACTGTTTTTGGTCTCACCCCGCCACCGCCGCCAGCCGCCGCTGGTCAGCCACGCACTGCAGGTAGTTTCTCTTCTTTTTCTTTTTTTTTTTGTTTAATATTTTTTTGTAATTTACAGTTGTAACATGAATTTATGTTTTTTTTTAATTTTTTTTGCATTTATATTTTATGTCGATTATGAAAAAATCTCAATCAATTGATGAGAAAAAACTGCAACAATATGATGGAATAACGTTCCATGATTCATGGTATTTAAGTCCTCTGATGAAATTGATTATGAAGTTTTTTTTCCTTGGTAGATCTCTGAAGGTTTTTGATTTATCATTTTTTTTTTTTTTTTTGAATTTTTTAGATGAGATTATGAGAAGTAATATTTTTGGTCCGTGTTTCTTTCTGATTTAACTGTGTAATTACCATTTTAAGCACACTCCTGATCTCATTTTAATATATCAGATTTAGAATTGTTTAAAAAATATTGTTGGTAGAATTTAATTTTTGTAAAAAGAAATTAATTATGGCAGAATTTTTTAAAAGTTAGTCCTTGTTTATTAGTTTTTTTTTTTTTTTTTTTTTTTATGTGTGGCTTAAAATGTTGAGCTTCTGCTGGATGAATTTATGAAATGATTCACATTCAGATCTTCAGAGATTTTCAATCAATGAGAAGAAATTTCATCTCTCTGAGCAGAAAGTGAGTTCTCCCAAATTAAAGAAAATAAGAGCTCTTTAAAATTGAGAATCATTGGGCTGGGATTTACATTCTTTAATTTATATTCACCATGGTCCAAATGGGAAAATATTTTAAAAATCTAAAAAATGATCTTTAGACCATAGATGAGGGCAAATTTTGAAGTTTTTTTTCTTTAAATTTTTTTTATAAAATACGCAACTTTTTAAACTTTATTAACTTCTGAAAAAAAAAACAGTATAACTGATCTGGACCCACATTAACCTCAATGTCACATTGCATCATTTATATTAAACGTTTTTTTTAAAAAAATAAATTCGATATATTGTTGGAGAACTCTTTTTCATTAACTGTGGAAGTCAGAAATGATATTAAAAATGTTGCTTGACGAAGACGTTCAAAATTGATGATTGAATTTTACAAGATAACATATATTAAAAAAAAAAAAAGGCTTATGATAGAATAATTTTCAAAATTGAGTTTTTATGTTTAAATTTGAGATAGGAAATAAAGGTTTAATTTAAAAAGTGAAATTGAAATTTTTTTAATTATTTTATAAATTTAAAAGTTAAATTGGCAGAAATGTCAAATTCTAAAATTTATAGTCTTGTTTAAAATAAATTCAGACCAAATTAATCTTTGATTTTTAATTTTATAAACTATAACGTTGAATTCAATCAAACTCGAATCCAAACAATCCTTTTTTGTTTTTTTTGTCTAGATTAAAAAAATACATCTAATCCTCATGACACTTCTTCGATTATACAGGAAGCCTAGCAAGAAAGAAACAGGTAATTAACCAAGAAAACTAAAAACTAAAAATTCACAAAGCCAAACATAGCATTAATACTCACTATATAAACCAAACCCCAACACATTTCTTTCATCAATCTTTCAAGCCAAAACATATTTCTCTCTATCCAAACAAGATGAGTGTACTAGAGATGTGGACTAATCTTTGGCACTGCAATTGGGAGCCTAATGTTTGCTTAATGCTTGTTTCAACAATACTTCCCCTGATCAACTTCATGGCTACGCCAGAACATATTTGCAGAAAATTGAATAGGTTTACCTCTCCTTAATTCACAGGTCACCTTCCATGAATATACAGGTGGAGCGTCTGAAAGCGCAGCGAAGTCCTATACCGCCTCCAAAGCTAATTAGCGCCAAACTCTCTATGCGCGCCAAGCGGTTAAAGGCTGATGTTGTTTAAAAGATAACCATCTGTTGCTTACTTGACGATCCATGAAGAAATTACTGATGACTTCAATGGAATCAAAATCTGGTGGTCTTCAAGGAAAAATACCCCCAAACACAGTCTTTTTCCTTCTATCACTGAAAGGATGAGAGAAGATATTTTACTCTCAACTGTCCATAGGCGTCATAAGAGAAACCATTAATGAACGTCTTATATAGATCATGTTTATTAAAGAAGGAAGCGATTTCTGTTAAGAATAGGCAGAGAAAGCTTATACTAATAAATCCAAGTAATGATTGGCAATGGATGGAAAGCTACCAAATGGAAGTCATGTGGTGTTTGGACATCCTGCGAGTTTTGATACTTTGGCAATGGCGACAAAGTATGAAAGAACAGATCAAGAACGATTTGATCAATTTAACTAAAGGGAAAGGATTATTACGCCAAGATTGGGAAAGCTTGGAAAAGAGGTTATTTGCTTTTTGGTCCACCAGGAACTGGCAAGTGACGATGGTTGCTGCTATGGCTAATTTCTTGAATTAATGAATGTTTATGATCTTGAATTTAACTAAAGTTAAGGATAACAGTGAGCTTAGAAAAGTATTGATTGAGACAACCAGTAAGTCCATTATTGTGATTGAGGATATTGATGTTCTCTTGATCTTACTGGTCAAAGAAGCCAAAAGAAGGAGAAAGACGAAGATGATGAGAAGGGTGAAAATAACGATGCCGATTTCTAAAAAGAAAAAGGAATTAGAAGAAGAAAAAGGCCAAAAGTAGTAAGGTGACTCTATCTGGGCTTTGAATTTCATTGATGGAATTTGGTCGCTTGCAGCGGAGAAAAGATCATTGTGTTCACTACTAACCTATGTGGAGAAACTTGATCCAGCTTTAATCAGAGGGGAGAATGGTAGGCATAATAGAAATGTCCTTACTGTTGTTTTGAGCCTTTAAGGTTTTAGCTAACAATTATTTGGACATAGATTCTCACAAATTGTTTGGTGAAAAATTGAGAAACTGTTGGGGGAAGTGAAGATGACAACCAGCTGACGTTGCAAGAGAATTTGATGCCAAAATCAGTAGATGAAGATGAAGAGACTTGTTTAAAGATTTGTTGCTTTGCTCTTGAGAGAGGCAAAAGGAAGAGGAAGCCAAGAAAGAAGGCTGAGGAAGAAGAGAAAGTAAAAGCAGAGCAAGAAGAGAAAGAAGAAAGATTGTAAAGAACAATGTTGAAGAAATTCAAAGAAAATGACTTGAGTGAAAATGGGGAAAAAAGGGGATTCTCTTTGAAAGAACTTCAACTGAGAAATAAATTAGCAAAGCCTTAAAACCATGACCGAATTGGTATTTTATGTAGATTAGATCTTTAGATTTGTAAGAAGTAAAGTGTTTTTCTATTGATCATCAATGAGTTGAAAAATTAGGAATTTGAAATTAATCAATGGAAAAATGGAGTTAATGAATTTGTGTTCTATAAGCAAATTTATAATTTTTCACAGTCAAAAATCCTTAAATCGTGTTATCTGTTTGGACAGCTGTTTGCTCTCTAAACCACCGATCCTTAATAAGTCTCAGCTTGATGATGCAGATGGCGGAGGCCAGCGGCGGTTATGGATGTCCTGGTAAGGTTACATTGGAAGTGAGACGATGGAAGAGAAGAAATTAAATTACTTTTTTTCCTTTAAAAAAGAAAATTACTTTTGTTTTTTTAATAAATGACGTATTAAATAGTTTACATTTTTCCCAACAAGAAGAAGGGGGAAAGTAAGATTTTTCCCGACAAGAAATAAACAAAATGAAGCATAAATCAAATTAAATCAAAATCACAGAATTAATATCCAAAAGATATCCAAATATTGTAAAACTCTAATCTCGGTAAATTTTCATTGTATTCTCCCTCCTTGATCTTGTGTCTTCCAATCATCGTCGATCTCCCATCAGGCCCTCATTTTTTCCCCACAACAAGATGCTTTCTCTTTCTCATTGTCTTTTGTTCAAAATCATACCGAAGTTATCGTCGGTGGAGACTTTCAGCTATTTCAACGAGAGATATTTTGTGCAGAAAAATCATGATTTATAGGAGAATTTTGCTCTCTCTCTAGAATTCTCTACTTTCTAATCTTCCTTTTATCGTAGAAAAAAATATAAAAATGTATGTTGTCTTTGTTTTTGGTTGGACAAAGAAGAGACCTCAGTAGGGGTGGCCCATATTAGGGTTCCAGGAACTGGAACCGGAGCTTTGAAAACCGGTCTGAACCGTAACCGGAACTGTGAGGAACGGAACCTGGATATTTTCGGTTCGGTTTTTCATTTTCAGTTTTGTCTCGAACGCAAACCCGGCTATTCCGCAACCGTCGGAGCCAGATGGAACCTCCGGTTCTCCGGCCGTTTAGAACCGCCGGTTTCGAACCGATTCTTCCAGCCGGTTTAGAACCGACGGTTCGAGCCATTAGAAACTGTCAGTTTTTTTAAAAAAAAAAATTTATTGTGAAATCTCTTAATTACCCCTCCAACAACTATAAATGCTTAGTTTTCAAAAGTATTTTTGAAAAAAATAATTTTTGGAATTTATATAAATACATTATTCATTTCATTTAGCAAATTCCCTCCTCACAAAAAATCTCTACTCTCATCACACTATGCTACACTCTACTCTATATTATTCTTCTCTACTCTACAATCTCTCTTATTATTCTCTCTAATTTTTTTTATTCAATTTTCCAAATTATATCTTATTATCATAATAATAGGCAAGTGGAGGAACGTTCAAAATTCTAAGTAAGGGCAAGGGAAAGATTGGAGAAACACAATATCCATCTAATCCCTACATAACGACTTTCTTTGATTTCACTCCCAACCAATTTAATTTTGAAGGAAATATCCAAATAAAATTTGGAAATTCCAACTCAGAATCCTAATTTAATAATGAGCAATTACAAGAAAGAGGAAGAGCAAGATGCAAGAGCAACGTGCACAAATTGTTTGGAAGAGCAAGACAAGTTTCCGACATATTCGCCATCCATTTCATGAAAAAAATTCAAAGGTGAGAAAAATGTTTGATGTAATTTGCAATTATTGGGAAAAATCTTATAAATTTAAAACAAGCAAGGCGACTATGGATCATTTTGGAAGCATTTGGAGACAACAAAAATTTTCCCAAACCAAAAAATGGAAGTTGATCGGTCTCACACAAATTTCGGGTCGCAATCTTCTAACCTTTCTTTATTAAATATTCTGGAAAAAATACAAAAAGAAGAATTAGTAAAAAAATGATTTCTATGGAACATTTATCTTTTAGTTTTGGTGAAAAAGTAGGTTTTTAAATAATTATTGTCAAAAAGCTTTACATCCTTCTGCTAAAAGAGTGACAAAGAAATACTGTAAAACGAACTATTATTTCTTTTTAATATAATAAAGGAAAAAAGAGTTGACTTTTTAATTTTCTCAAAAATGAAAATTCGTGTTTCAATTTGTTGTGATATTTGGAGTGATCATTGGCAAATGCATCTTATATGGGCACTTACATGTCATGGCATTGATGATGATTAGAAAATTCAAAAAAAGAATTATGCATTTCGTGCTTTTGATGATAAACCAATAACTGCAAATAATATTTTATAGAATAATTGTTTTCAATTTTAGATGAATATAAGTTGACAAAAAAATTTTTTCAATTTCATTTGATAATGCTTCTGCTAATACTAAATCAATCAATTATTGGAACTTAAAAAATATTTGTGAACCAAATATTGGGTGGAACAATTTTTTTCATAGATAAGATGTGCATGCCAATGTTTTAAATTTATGTGTAAAGATGGTTTAAAAAAAATTCCATTGAATCTTTTAATTTCTCCAAATTAAAAAAGCTATTTTCATATTTATGGGGACATCCCCAAGTGATAAAAAGTTTATGCTAAATTTTGTCAAGGAAAAATAATAAAAGACAAAACGTTTTCCAAGGGATGTCCCAATCTTGGAATTCAACAATGAATTATTAACGAGTCTTTTTCTTAATAAAGAATTATTATGCTTTTTTGTACCTAATATAATTGAAGATATTAAATTTACATCCACAAAAAGTTGAGATATTTGTGCAAAAAATTTTAGATATTTTTAAAAATTTTTAAATGATGCTCCTATAAATTAGTGGGGTTTATTACCCCACATCTCATTTAAAATTTTTACCTATGTGTTAATATTGTTGTGCAACTCCCAAGAATTTGAAAAAATGATTATATATTAAAAGATTGTGTTTTTTCATGAAAAAAAAAATGGTTTTATCTTAATTTTAAAAAATATACTACCCTTTAATCTTGTTTGCTATTGTATTTGATCTTAGATGTAAAATGATGTTTTTTATGTGATATTTGACTATTTATTATGAAGTATAAATCTTGAAATATGAAGATAATGTTATATATAAATGTAGTATGCAATGGTTAACAAAATATTATGCAATTATATATGTGAAGTTGTCAATTTTCTAGTTCATCTACTTCTAATTCTTCTCAATCTAAATATTCAACAATTTCCAACACAAAGGGTAAGTGTGTTGGGTGTTGCTGAATCATGGTTTTTTACTACAAAGACAAAAAAGTAACAAAGGAATCCAGTTCTTTTTTCTCTGAATTTGATAATTAATCTTAACCACTTCTTTTGAGTTATGGTGATGATTATGCAGATTACTAATTCCAATTTTAGATGGTTCGTCACGCAATACTTTTTCATACTTTCTTTAATTGCAAAATAAGTTTGAGCAGCTCCCGGTCTCCCTACTGTTGCGGTTGAATAAACTTTTAGTCAAGGAGGAAACATACTTGAAAATGAAAAATATACGATCTCTGTATGAACACCCCGATTCATTAGAAGTACAATCATGCGTGGATGATTGGAGGCAAGCCCGAACTAGAGCACAAGAAAATCTAAAAGAAAATGAAGATTTATATGATTTATAAACCGATGGGTCCTCAACGGAACATCACAACCGGTGGGTGCAAATAGCCGAATAAGGAAAATGGGTGAAATTGGTATAAGGGTAAGTAAAAGAACTACGTGGGCTTTGATTCCTCTAAACCCCAAGAGATACGTAGGCAACTTAATTTTTTTTTTTTAAATTGTGGGTTCAAACTTTTTTAAACATAAAAATAAATTAGTGGAAGACTTTTTTTAAAAAAAAAATAAATAAGTTCAAGTCTTTAAAAATATAAATTTAATTGAAGCATTTTTTTAAATTTGTTTAGGTGTGAATTTTTTTTAGGTATAACTTCACAGAATATTTTAAATTTTGAAAACCGGTCTTGAAAATTTAAAATTTAAAATTATGCGATTTACCAAAAATGCAGTCGGAAAGATCGATCGGAACCGTCTTTGGAAACCGTCGACGAACGGAAACCGAACCGGTTTCGGTTGTCAAATCAAAGAACCGGAAACCAAAAATTTTCAGTTCCGGTTCCGGTTCCGGGCCACTCCTAACGCTTGAGTATAATGGAGACTCGATAAAGGTTTGGTGTAAGAGAGAGAGAGAGAGAAGGGTGGGGGTTCTCTGTAAAATGATGAGAGAGAGAATCATTTCAAGACTTTCAGTAATTCCATAAGGGTACTTTTGAGTTTTTCCTAAGTATTTAACGGCACAATATGAACTTTTTGGATGAAATGGACTTGTAGTCCATCGATTTCAAAACTCAGGGAAAAATTAAAATTACTTAAGATTTTGAAATAGAAATATTATTAAAATGAGTACTGAAACTTGAACTAAGCTCCTGGACAATATCAAAACATCGTTTTAAATTGAGAACTCACGTTTCAATCAGCAGAATAAGGCCATGCTTACATTTTCCAAAATAGAAGGAAAACTCAACATAATCTAATATTAAGAAAAAAAAAAAGAAAAAAACATAACAAAAACCAATTTGGCCAATTTTTTTAGAAGAAACAGAGAATAGGCAAGCAAGCACCAAATCAATAAGCTAGAACAAGCCATTAATTCAGGCAAATCTTCATCCATTAAGCTTGAGAACTGTTGTAAAGTGGAAAAAGGTTAAAACTGCCGCCCCGAAACTTGGACTAGATATTGGATTTGTCCAATTTTTTTTTTACTTTTCGGTCAAATGACTCCGTTAACTTAATGAGAGAAGGATAAAAATCTCGATGTGGTGTGAGTTGAAAATCTAATGCGGAACACACACGGCAGTGAAAAGTAGGAAAAGAAAAAATAATTTCAATTTTTTTAATTCATACGTATAGGTCAATTGCAAAAAGAGACTAAAACCGTTAAAAAGCCGAAATCCTTAATTTCTATCCTAAACACTATCCCTGCAAAATTAAATTTTAATCATTATGTTTATATATTCCAAACATATTCATACAAACGTTTTTCATTTAATTTATTTTTTTTCCAAAATAGCTCGTTTTATGGCTTTCCTCGGATGGAGTTGTTTCTTTTCCTTTTTGATTTGGTTGAATTACATAAATAAGAAAAAAAAAAAAACAATTTGTTCCCATTTTTATTGATCAATTATTTTATGTTTTTCAATATATAGTGGTATGGGAATGGTTTTCAATGAATTTTTTTTGTGGAGGTGGAGCGAAAAGCAAATAATGTTTTGTAGGTAACTCTTAAGTGAATTTTTTGAAAAAAAGTGGAAATTATTGTTTTCATGATTGAAAAAAGTCTATAAAACCAACTCCGACAAGGCCCCACTAGGTACCACCCATTCCATGATTCCATGGGAGGAATAGTATCTCAATGTATGTAATTTTTTAAATACAATAAAATTTAGTAATTTTTAAATATAACAATAGTATTACAAATTTAATATTTCAATTATTTATCATTGGTTTATTTAATTAAAAATTTAACAATTTAAAAAAAACTTTAAAATCTAAAATTCGTTAAATAAACAACATATATATTTAATTTTTTCAAAAAAGAATGAATTTAAATATTATAATTAATGATTTTATTTTAATAATCTTTTTGAAAAAAAATATGAAATTGAAATGATTGAGTTTTAAAATTACACTAACATATTTAAAAATTTAAATACTAATAATTATTCTTATTGTAATTTCTGATATGTAAATTTTAGAAAATTATTTTTTTCCTATTGAGAATCATGATATATATTAAAAAAATCTCTATTATTTTATTGTTATTTATACTATTTTCATTAAAATAATTTTGACCACATATAATATATTTGCTTATGAAAATAATATTATATTTTAAAACACTCTTTTAAATTAAATTTATTTTTTAAATTTATTTTTTATTTATCATATGAAAATCTATTTTCGTCTCTATGAAAAATCCTGATTCCTTCCACTGGCAGGATATCACATGATCCAAACCCATGTAATAATTCTAAAATGGTTGACTAAAGAGTCAATAGTCAATTGCTAAATGCCAATTTTTGGAGAATGTGAATGGCCATGCATTCAAATTGGCCCGTGTCGGTTTGTCGTATTAATTTCTTTTTTTTTTTTTTTTTTGTCGGTTGTTGTGTAATAATCAAAAAATTACTTTAAGTATAACAAACTCAAAATTTGCTTTTTATTTAAAAAGAATAATTATTTGTGAAAATATTTATTGTAATTAATTTAAATAAGAAAAATATTGAAAAAAACATTATTTATTATTCAAAAGGCTCAAAACTACTTATATTTTATAATAGAATAATTATCTAAAAGCGATTTATATTTTAGGATAAAAAGAGTATATAATTTTATGCATTAAAATCATATCATTAACCATAAGGAAAACTTTTGAAACCCTGTTTTATCAGTGTGAAAAAGAAGCCAACTTCAGAATCTAAGTTAGAAAATTTTAGTCACCTCTTTGTTTGTGGACCATATTAGAAAATTTCAAATTTAAGTTAATGGGTGAATTTTTCAAATTTAAGTTAATGGGTGAATTTTTTTTAAAAAAAATTAGTTTATTCTTATTGTTGAAATCTACGAAACAGTGAGTTGTAAAAGTAAAATTTCAATATTTGATTGGTACAGAAATGTTACAATTATAATAAAAAGCTTTTTTTATCAGTCATAAACTTTAACTATTGTTAGAGATGATATATATTGTCCAACCAATGAAGAAATTTAATGAAATTGATTATGCATTTTATAATGCAAAATGTAAATCATAATTATGCATTAATAAATATATATAAAAAGGGTGTCGTATAATTTAAATCATACAACATACAACAATATAACACAAATTTCTTCTCATTCAACTCGTATTATGCATTAATTTCTTCTCTCTCTTTCTCTTTCTCTTCTTGCTCTGCTTTCAATTTTTCCTCCTCAAGAGCAGCAATCAAATTCTTCAGACAAGTCTCTTCATCTTCATCTACTGATTTTGGCATCAAATTCTCTGCAACATCAGCTGGTGTCATTTTAACTTCCTCCAGCAATTTCTCAATTTTCACAAACAGTTCATGAGAATCAATGTCCAAATAATTCTTAGCTAAAACCTTAAAGGCTTCAAAACAACAGTAAGACATTTCTATATGCCTATCCATTCTTCCCCTTCTAATTAAAGCTGGATCAAGTTTCTCCACATAGTTAGTAGTAAACACTATAGTAGTAAACACTATAATTCTTTCTCCACCACAAGCAGACCAAATCCCATCAATGAAATTCAAAAGCCCAGATAGAGTCACCTTGCTACTTTTACTTGCTTCTTCTTCTAATTCCTTTTTCTTTTTAGAAACCGGATCTTTATTCTCGTCTTTTTCATCATCATCTTTCTCCTTCTTTGGCTTTCTTTGACCAGTAAGATCAAGAGAACAATCGATATCCTCAATCACAATAATGGACTTACTGGTTGTCTCAATCAATAACCTTCTAAGCTCACTGTTATCCTTAACTGTAGTTAATTCAAGATCATAAACATCATAATTCAAGAAATTAGCCATAGCAGCAACCATCGTCGTCTTCCCAGTTCCTGGTGGACCAAAAAGCAAATAACCTCTTTTCCAAGCTTTCCCAATCTTGGCGTAATAATCTTTCCCTTTAGTAAACTTGATCAAATCGTTCTTGATCTGTTCTTTCATCTTTGTCGCCATTGCCAAAGTATCAAAACTCGCAGGATGCTTAGACACCGCATGACTCCATTTGGTAGCTTTCCATCCATACCAATTATCACTTGGATTATTAGTATAAAGCTTTCTCTGCCTATTCTTAACAGAAATCGCTTTCCCTTCTTTAATAACATGATCTATGTAAGACGTCATAATGGTTTTTCTATGACGCCCATGGACAGTGAGATTAAAATATCTTCTCTCATCCCTGTCAGGATAGAGGGAAAAAGACTGTGTTCTGGGGGTATTTTTCCTTGAAGACCACCAGATTTTGATTCCATTGAAGTCATCAGTAATTTCTTCATGATCATCCATAGTAAGAACAACAGATTGGTTATCTTTAACAACATCAGCCTTTAACCGCTTGGCGCGCATAGAAGAGTTGGCGCTAAGGTAGCTTTGGATGGCGGTATAGACTTCGCTGCGCTTCAGACGCTCTGAGTTGGTGCTAAGGTAGTTTTGAAATGGCGGCCGTAACCTTCGCTTCCGTTGGAAGTCCCTCTCCGGTATATTCATCAAAGATAAATAATGGATATATGGTAGATAGATTGCTAATAATCTTTTGGCTATAAGTTATCAATATAGCTTGCGAAGGTTGACAAGGGAAGTCTGTGAAACATAGCCGCAAGCAAACATTAGCCAGCATTGCTGAAACCTAGCTGAGTAAGAACCCTCTGCTGAAATGCCCATTTTTTTTTCTCTTAAGAGTAGAGAACTCTTGTTTTGATAGTGGAAATTGGGCTGGATATTTAATAAATGTTTTAGAAAGACAGAGAAGTTGTTTATATATATGGAAGAAAACTTGGAAATAAGTTTTGGTGAGCAAGTTACGCAATGTCGTTTTCATAGACTTAATTACACATGTGTGTAGAAAGACAGAGAAGTGTTTATATAATGAAGAAACTTGGGAAATAAGTTTTTTTTTTTCTTGCAGGGTGAGCAAGTTACGCAATGTCGTTTTCATTAGACTTAATTACACATGTGTTGTTCACATATGTACCAAATCAATCATAAATAGAATTTTGGTTCAAAACAGAATATTTTTCCACTAAAGAAACGAATTTTCACTCTTTTTGTTTGGAAAATTTACTTAAGTTTTTAGAAAATATGTAACGTCCCATTTTTCTGTGTCTAAAATAGTAAGTTACCGGTCTGTGAATAGTATCATCGGTCCAGGAATAAATATTATTTTGGTCCGAAAAAAAATCGGTCCAGGATAAATATTTATTTTGGGTCCGAAAAAAAAATTATATAGATAGGGTTAGATATTATTATATCAAGCCTTTTTGGAGCAAAATGCAGCCATGGTTTTTATGGTAGAAAGTGGGTAATTGAATATTTTTGGAGAATTTTAGAAGAAATTATTGAGTAGTGACTTAACATTTTGTGATATTAATTAAGGAAATGAGGCCAATAGTTTTGTATGATAAATTTGAAAATGAATTTTATATTAATTAAGAAAATTAGAGAAATATTTTTTATGGAGTAAATTTGAATTTTGTTTGTGTTATATAGTATTTTGAAGGAATTTAATTGGAGAATATTTTGGTAAGCCATAGATTAGATTTACATTTCAATCTAGCCAATGCCAATATTAGTAATAAAACAAGAACTAAAACCCTTTTAGTTGCAACTCTATTATTGAGCAATATTTTTTCTTCCTCTCCCTCTCCATGCTAACGTGAAATTACTATGTATGTTTAATATTTTCTTTAATATTTTTGGAGTATGTATGCATGATTTTTATGGGTAGAAAGTAAGTAATGAATATTTTTGGAAAATTTTAGAGAATTAGTGAGTAGTAACTTAAGATGGTGTTATATTAATTAAAGAAATTAGAGGAATTATTTTTAAGGATTAAATTTAAGAATTTTTATGGAGAATTCATTAGGTGAAGTAAACTTCATTATTTTTGGATTTAGAGTTGGCTTTTAGCATATACATGCTTAATCATGCTCCAATTACTTCTTTTATTTGTTTTCTTTGTTTGATTTTGAGTTTCTTACATGTAGAGCATGGAGAGTCTTCTACCAAGGATAAGGGCAAGACCAAAGCTTGAGAAGCTTTGATTCAAGCTTGTTAAAGCTTGTTTTGAAGGTTAGTACTTATAAGCACACTTACCTTACTCAAATTTTTGAGTTTGTGCCTCTATGCTGTCATGTGTATCTTTTGGGATTTTGTATGAAATGATTGATTTTTTGAATTTTGGTTGAAATTACATGCTCTTGGGTGATTTTTGATGAGTATGTATGGTGTGGTAGACATTTCTACCTTGTATCCTTGGTGTTCATGTTCCTTTCATGGTTAAAGTAAGCTGAATTTGGGAAAAACGTGTTTTTGAGTGAGATGAAGGACCATTTTTTGATCCTTTCTAAATTCCATTTGTGTCTGAGTCCTTCATAGTTAGCAGCTATAGTCTTCGCTTTGAAGATTTGGAGGCATTACTTGTATGGTGAGAAATGTCATCTGTATGCGGATCATAAGAGTCTCAAGTATCTACTTACTCAAAAGGAGCTTAATATGAGGCAGCGTAGATGGTTAGAGCTACTTAAAGATTATGACTTCACCATTGATTGCCATCCAGGTAAAGCGAATGTGGTAGCAGATGCACTTAGCAGGAAGTCCTTGGTTGCTTTACGTGCTATGAATACTTGATTATCTGTAACTAGTAATGGTGCACTTGTGGCAGGGCTTATGATTAGACCTAGCCTACTTCAGCAAATTCGAGATGCACAAAAGGATGATGAGACTATTGCCTTGTGGAAAGACCTAACCAGAGAGGGAAGGAAAAAGAGATTTATGATTATGATTTAAAGATAATGACTGCTTGTTACTTTGGGGACAGACCCTTTGTGTGACCTAATAATTTTAGAGTTGAGACAGTGTATCGTAAGGAAAGCTCATAGTAGTCCTTTTATGCTATGCCATCCTGGCAGTATAAGTATCAAGGATTTGAAATCAACAGTAATTGGTGGCCAGCGATGAAGAGGGATATCACAGATTTTATGTGTCTGAGGTTTGAACGTGCCCCAGCAAGTTAACAAGCATCCAGTTTCCACTTCTGGTTTGTTACTGCCCTGCTGTTATTCCAGAGTTGGAAATGGGATAGGATTAACAATGGATTTTTGTGACTGATTGCCTTTAACTCCTAAAAAGAAAAAGATGCTGTATGGGAATACGTTACAATGATAACTAAGTCAGCAAAACACTTTTCTTCCTGTTAGGCACAACTTCACCATGGAGCAGTAATGCAGAGCTTTAATATAGATGAAAAAGTGAGATTGACAATGGATGTTCCTTCAATCCATCATTTCAGCATTAGAGATCCAGATTTACTTCCTAGATTTTGGAAGAAGCTACATGAGGCCCTGGATACTAAAGCTGAATTTTCAGCACAGCTTTTCATCTCAGACAGATGGTCAGTCAGAAGCGTGGTTATTCAATTTTGGAGGATATGTAAGAGCTTGTGTTAATTTGAGTTTGAGGGCATGTGGGAGAAGTAACATTCGACTTGTCGAATTCGACTTATAATAACATTATCAGTACCGAAGTTAATTCAGATGGCGCCCTTTTGAAGGTATAGGTAAGAGATGTAGGACTCCATTATGTTGTCAGAAATGGGAGCGAGGGCAAGAATGGTAGGTCAGGTTTGATTCAGGAATACAAAAGAAAAAGGTAAATTATCAGAGGATAGATTGAGAAGAGTTGACGTAAAAAGCCTTAGCAGACTTGAAGAGTGGAGAGATATATGAAATTAAATTGCAGTGGGAAAGAAATAAGGTTTTCCTTAAGGTATCTCCGTGGAAAAAGATATTGAGATTTTGGAGAAAGAGGGTTAGCTTTAGTCCTCGGTTCATTGGTCCATGATCATTGAGCGTGTGGGTCCATTGGCCTAAAGACTAGCTTTACCACCAGACCTGGATAGGATACATAATGTTTTCCACGTATCTATGTTGAGGAGGTATCGGTCCGACCCATCACATGTGATAACAGTTGAATCTATTACTATTGATCCAGATTTAACTTATGAGGAAGAACCAGTGAAGATAGTTGCTAGGGAAATCAAGGAACTAAGGAATAAAAGAATTCCTTTGGTAAAGGTTCTTTGGAGAAACCATAAGACCGAAGAAGCTACATGGGAAAGTGAAGACATTACGAGACAACAACATCCTCAGTTGTTTAATTCAGGTGAATTTCGAGGATGAAATTCTTTAAGGGGGGAAGAACTGTAACGCCCCATTTTTCTGTGTCTAAAATAGTAAGTTACCGGTCTGTGAATAGTAAAATAGTAAGTTACGCTGGTCTGTGAATAGTATCATCGGTCCGGGAATAAATATTATTCGAAAAAAATTATTAGATAGGGTTAATATTTTATATCACATTTTTGGAGCATGCATGCATGGTTTTTATGGGTAGAAAGTGGGTAATGAATATTTTTGGAGAATTGTAGAGAATTAGTGAGTAGTGACTTAAGGTGTGATATTAATTAAGGAAATGAGGCAATAGTTGTATGGATTAAATTTGAAATGTTGTTATATTAATTAAGAAAACTCTTCATCGCTGGATTATTTTTATGGAGTAAATTTGAGAATTTTGTTGTGTTATATAATATTTTGAAGGAATTTAATTTGGAGAATATTTGTAGCTATTAGATTAGATTTACATTCAATCCTAGCCATCCAATTTTGGTGAAAAGACCAAACTCCCCTTTTAGTCAACTCCATTATTTGAGCAATATTTTTCTTCCTCTTCCTCTCCAACTAACGTGAACTTCATCTTCTTCTCCTCCATTTCACCTTTAGCCTCTCTTTCTCTTCTCTTTGTTTTCTCCATTTTCTACTTGAATAATTCACCAAATTCACTCCAAAATTCACTATCCATTTACCTGAATAAAGTAAGTAAATCTAGAATAAAAGCTTGAGAAGTGGTTTGGGGAATTAAATTTCAAAGGAATTTGGAGACTTTCCCTAAACTTAGGTGGACAGTAAACTCAATATTTTGGATTTAGAGTTTTTCTTTAGCATATACATACTTAATCATGCTCCACTTCTTCTTTTTCTTTGCTTTCTTTGTTTTGATTTTGGAGCTTATTACATGTAGAAGGGTTGGAGAAGCCTTTTAACAAAGATAAAGGCAAGACCAAAGTTTTAAAGGAGCTTTGATCCAAGTTGTTTTGAAAGGTTTTTGGTGTTCATAAAGCACACTACCTTACTCAATTTTTGGATTTTGTGAAGTTTGTTTGCTACTTGTGAAAAGTTGGGGGATTTGTAATGAAAATGATTTGGAATTGTTGAAATTGATATGTTTGTATAAATGTGTTCTTGAGTGTTTTCTAAGCCTACCTATATGTTGAATTTATGAAGAAAATATTTTTCTCTTCTTCTTCCAAGAGTGGCAGAATTTACCAAGGGAAAATGTGTTAATGGGTGTGTTTAAGGACTGTTTTTCCATTCGTTTTATTTTCCCTCTATATTTGAGTCCTTCATGAAAGTTGTAGGTCCACTTCTTAGCTTTCCAACCCATCCTCTTGTGTCCAATTTAGATATATATAGCTCAACTTATGGCTAAAACACCCAAACTGACTCTGTTATAACGGACCACGACCACATGCAGCAATAGATTGAGTGCCCAGTTTGACCACCATAATGGCAATATTAGGTGCTGAGTTATTCATGAGAGTTGTTTCCCTGTGTCTTGAGATTTCCCAGGTTTTTGATTGGTTTAATTTGAGTGTCTGGTTAGGGAGGAATTTGATAAACAGTAGACTTTGGTTCTGCTGAATCCGGTCTGGCCTATTAGTCTGTGTTCCTATCTTATTTTGCCTATCTGACAGATTGATCTGGGTTATGGTTCCTTCATAACAATTGTATAACTGTGTCTTATCTTTCTAATGAAACTAATTTCATTCAATTTAATTTCATTCAATTTTGGAGATATATAACTCCAGTTATATATTAAAAACTCAGCAAAGGCAAAGATTGCTTTTATGGCTGAAATTTTCCTATGTAAGTAATATTGTTTAAGTATGAGAAGTTTTCATGAATGAAATTCAGTTTTGTTTAAGTATGAGAAGTTTCATGAATGAATTCAGTTTAAATTCAGTTTTCATTGTAGTTTTGTGAATACTAAATCACTTATAATTCATGATTTATAGGTTAAGACGGTGCCTCCGGCACCGAATGTGACATCCGCCGTCGAATCTCTCGGGACTGGGCGGCGGGTGTTACAAAATATTTTTTAAATAATTAATTTTCTTTAATTTCCAAAAAGAAACGAGAGTATTTTTCCACTAAAGAAATAAATTCCCACTCTCCTTGTTTGGAAAATTTACTTAACTTTTAGAAAATATTTTTAAAATAATTAATTTCTCTAATTTCCAATAGAGAAATAAATTCAACACTCTTCTTGATTGGAAAAATTACTTACCGTTTTAGAAAATGATGTTCTCTTTTTTTTTTTTTTTAATTAACTAGAGGCACAACCCATTAGATTAAAACTAAATTCTGTTCACGTGGGTTGATCCATTAAAGGATAAAGGGTACTCAATGAATGTTTAGGTTAAACTATATCTGAAAATAAAATTTTAAGTTATAAAAAATAATATATTTCAATAATTGACGACAGTAACTCAAATCTGTATCAAAAAATATAAATTTAAGGATTATCTAAAAAAAATAAAAAAAGGAAAGAATTGACCTCAGCACTGGCCGCCCCTCGAAGGAGAAAAGAGAGCAATGGTGATTGGCCTGGAAGAAGAGAGAACGACCTTTCAACAAGTATATATATTTTGTTATGATGAAATTTTAATTATTTTATTTATAATATTAAAAAACTCTTTCCCTTGTTAATAAAAAAATAATTTTTTTTCAAAAAAATAATAAATAAAATGAGAAAGAAACAGTTCAACAATCTTTATACCTACTACCTAGCTATAAGAACAATTAACTAAGACTTTTCAATGCTTAATTTTTTAATGATGCCATGAAATAAACAATATTAAAATACCAAAAGATTGATGCCATGAAATAAACAATATTAAAATACCAAAAGATGTAAGAGATGTTCAGATTTCTCAAAGTTCAAAATGGGCCCATATAAATATCTAAGCTTCAAAGAGTCCTTAATTCAGGTTTAGGACGTATAGACAACGCAGGAAATCCTGAAGAAGAGACAGGGATTTAAGGTGAAGAAGAGGATTGAAAAATAATAGAAACAAATTAAGAAAAAGGAGGGAAAACGGAAATACTGCTGCAAATTATAATAATTATTTCAAAGACGAAAGTAAGTTCAACACGTTTCCAAAACTTTTCTATAATATTTAGATTTCAATTTACGTGTTAGGTCATTTTTAATTGCCTAACATGAACAAGGCGTCACCATCTTCTTTGGAAACTTCATTTTCTTTGATCCATTCCAGCAGGTTCTCACTGGTTCAAGCCACTTTGGACTGATTTCAATTTTAAAACCAAAAATTGAAACTGAATGAATCCTTTTGATTATGAATCCTTTTGATTCAAAATCAAAACTTGTAAATTGATTTCAATCCAATCAAAATCAATTCTATTTAAGATTATTTAGAAAATAAATTTAATGTTCTTTAGGAAATAAATAACTGAAAATATTTATTTTTATCCTAGAAAATATATCTCCTTGTCGCATTAATTTTCTTTTTATTTTTTCCTTGTTTCGTAATTATTTTCCATTTTTTATAGGCTCAATACATAAATTCACTCATATATTTTTTACGAAAAATCTTGTGACTCCTTAACTTTTACTTGGACTTATTGAACACTTCAACTTATAAAATTACCCCTATTAAACACTTTAATTGACCTATTGAACAATTAAATTTATAAAATTAGATAAATTAAACACTTATTGGATAGTTGAAAAATGTTAAAATTATTGTTTCAAAAGTTATATTAACCACGTATCAAATCAATATTAAACCTTCAAAATTTGTTCTAGCATGATGAGAGTGAAAGTTCAGATATTCAACCATTTTTTACAAAAGCGGCTAATTGCATGCATTCATTAATCTAATTCTATACACCCGGTCAATAGTTAGTTGCTATTTAAAATATTTTCACTTCTTATTACTATATTATTATTTTTTTTTCCCTAGTAGAAAGATACCAATTAATATTTTATTTGCATAAATTATTAGCATTAAAATTATTAAATATAACCAACTACCAATTGGTCCATTGGGATGATGGTCCATTGGGATGAAGACGCTGGATTCTTAAGCAACGTCCTCTCAATAATAGACTTCTGAAAAAGCTTTGAATCCAGATCAAATATAAAAAAAATATTAAATATACATACTCAATATAAATAAGTTATATGATAAAAGAGAATTTTAGGGCGGAGTAAATTTATGCAAGAAGGAAGCCAAACTTAAGAATTTCTGAAAGAACTTGGAAATCCAAAGGCTTTCTATTAGAAAGGAAGATTTTTAAATTAAATTACAGAAAATTATAAAATATATATATATATATATATAAACAATTAAACAATACTTCAAAAAAACATGTCAAGTAACACTTTCCAGAAAAATAATTTTCAACTTTTATTAAACAAATTCATAGCACTTTTTTACTCTTAAAACCTTTGAAACATGTGAATGGAGAGGATTTGGGTTGTGATTGGTACAAGCAAACATGTAATTACAAAGACACTTTAGAAGATATTATTGATACTGAATTCACAATCATACTAATGCTTAATTACATCAAATCCCTATTTACAGTGACTATGCAAATATTTAAAAAGACTCCTAATTATTCAATCCAGATAGATTTACAATCAGATTGCAATCATAACACTATATAAACAATCACACAATATAAAAACCACAACCCTAGCCATCATCAACATGGAGGAACTCATCACCTTATTCCTTTCCATTTTCAGTGACACCATTTTCTTTGGGTTCTTTAACTAGTACTACATCAGAATCTTTCTCTCTCTCTTTCTCTTCTTGCTCTGCCTTCAACTTTGCTTCTTGCTCTGCTTTCAATTTTGCCTCCTCAAGACTTGCAATCAAATTCTTCACACAAGTCTCTTCATCTTCATCTACTGATTTTGGCATCAAATTCTCTGCAACATCGGCTGGTGCCATTTTAATTTCCTTCATCAAATTCTCAATTTTCGCAAACAATTCATGGGAATCTACATCCAGATAATTCTTAGCTAAAACCTTAAAAGCTTCAAAGCAGCAATAAGACATTTCTATATGCTTATCCATTCTTCCCCTTCTAACATTCTTCCCCTTCTAACTAAAGCCGGATCAAGTTTCTCCACATAATTAGTAGTAAAAATAATAATTCTCTCTCCAACCACAAGCAGACAAACCCCATCAATGACATTCCAAAAAGCCCAGATAGAAAGTCACCTCTAACTCTTGTTTTCTTCCTCTAATTTCCTTTCGCTTTTTAGAAATCGGAAATCGTCTTCATCCATCATCTTTCACTTTCTTTGGCTTTCTTCTTTGACCAGTAAGGTCAAGAGAAGACCAGTAAGATCAAGAGAACAATCAATATCCTCTATTACAATAATAGACTTACTGGTAGTTTCAATCAATAACTTCCTATGCTCACTGTTATCTTTAATGGTAGTTAATTCAATATCATAAACATCATAATTCAATAAATCAACCATAGCAGCAATCATAGTGGACTTTCCGGTTCCTGGTGGACCATAAAGAAGATAACCTCTTTTCCAAGCTTTCCCAATCATGGCATTAACTTGATCAGATCATTCTTTATCTGTTCTTTCATCTTTATACCCATGGCCAAACTGTCAAACTACGCAGGATGCTCAAACACGACATGGCTCCATTTAGCACCTCTCCATCCGTATCAATTCTTGCTTGGATTATTAGTATAAAGCTTTCTTTGCCGATTTCTAACTGCAATGGCCTTCCCTTCCTTGATAATATGATCTATGTAAGACTTAATAATGATATCTCTATATCGTCTATGGACAGTGAGTTTGAAAAACCTGCTTTCATCCAATTCCGGATAGAAAGTAAACTGCTTCGTTTTGGTATCATTTTTTATTGAAGTCCAACAAACTTTAATTCCATTAAAATCATCCAAACTTTAATTCCATTAAAATCATCAGAGATTTGTTCATTGTGATCCATTGTAAGTAACACAGACTTCCCATCTTTGACTACATCAGCTTTAAGCCGCTTGGCGCGCATTGATGAGTTGGTGCTAAGGTAGTTTTGAATGGCGGCGTAGACCTCGCTGCGTCGAAGGTCTTCGCCGGTATATTCATCAAAGATGATATGGATATATGGGTAGAAGATGCCAATAATCTTTTGGCTATATGTATCAATATAGCTGCGAAGTTCATAAGGGAAGTATTGCTGAAACACAGCCCAAGCAAACATTAGGCCAGCAATTGCTGAGCCTAACTGAGCAAATAGCTCTGTTACGATCATTTTTTTGGGTGTTAAGGGCAGTAGTTTCTTTTTTGGAGTAGAAGTTGGTAGTGTGTTTAATGATGTTTAGATAGATAGGGATTCCGAAACACTTGTGTGGAGCTATTTATATAGGGAAAAAACTTGGGAATGAAGTGTGTTTGCTTGGTAAAGAAGGTAGGTAAACACTTGTTCATTTCTTGGAATTTTCCAAGAAAACACTTGTTCATTTCTTGGAATTTTCCAAGAATGATTAAATAAATAATTTGTTGCTCTTCCACTTGTTTCAGAAAATAATTTATATTCTTAGTGATTGTTGAGTAAAATTAATTGTCTTAGTGGCTGTTAGCGTCTTATTAAACATTAAAACGAGTAATATATCACAAATCATTATTTCAAACTCTAAACACTAGTATAAATACTACACATTAAAATGAGTAATGTACCACAATTCATTGTTTCAAACTCTAAATACTAGTATAAATGTTACACCGCTGAACACTGTAAATAATAGAGGTAATTATTAAAAGCTACATCAATAAAAAAAAAAAACATTTTTAGTGACCGACTTTACGACCGACGTTATGCAGTCGCTAATTAGCCATAGAAATGCGACCGCCAGCCATAGAAATTTCTCGTGAAACCTTTGGTAAACTATCACTAGCGACTGAAGTGAAATTCGTCGCTCTATTTCGCGCCTAGAATTGGCACCAACCAATGTTACAAAATAGCAACCGACGTATATTTTGTCGCTATATTTGCTGCCAACTATTGGCAGGAATTATTAGGGACAGATTAGCAACGAGTGTGCGATTGCTGCGATGCCCAAAATTCCATTGTAATTAGAGACCGATTAATGATTATTTTTTTTTATTAGTGACGGTGCTTTTTTGCCGCGTCAATTAAAATAGCGACCAATTGTTTTATTTTAGCGACTGATCTGGTCAGCCGCTAAAGTTTTAGGGCGATTTAGTCGCCTCCTCTCTCGCGTGAGACTAATTTCAGTCTTACGCCTCTCTCTCTCTCTCTCTCTCTCTCCTCTGCCTCTCTCTCTCTCTCTCTCCTCTCTTCTCTCTCTCCCTCTCTCTCTCTCTCTTCTCTCATCTCTCTCTCTCTCTCTCTCTCTCTCTCTCTCTCTCTCTGTGTGTGTGTGTAGCCTCTCTCCCTCTGTCTCACTCCGTCAAGCAAGTTCTGACGCCAGTCGACTACTTTTCTGGTCTCACCCGCCGCCGCTGTTGGGCAACACCGCACTGCAGGTAAGTTCTTCTTTTTTTATTTTTTTTATTTTTGTTAATATTTTTTTGTATTTACAGCTATAACATGATTTTTATTATTTTTTTAATTTTTTTGCATTTATATTTTATGTCGATTATGATTGTTAAATGTTTTTTTTTTATTGAAGATGGATTTTTTTGGTTATTTTTCTATTTTGTTGATTGTTGACAGTTAGTATTGGTTTGTAGTTTGATATATGTTATTTTTGTTGATTCTAGCTAGTTTCTAATTAATCTCAGTTTGATAGTTTTTAGTTTTTTGATTAGTTTATTATTTTTTAGTTAATTTCTTTGAATGTTAATTAGTTTGTCATTTGTTAGTTAATTATTTTGTCATTTTTTTTTTTGTTATTTGTCATTTGTTTGACTGTTTTAGATTAAAACACTTAATGGTTATTATGAACAAATTTATTTATAATTTAATTAGGTTAGTTATATTTAATTAGGTGTAGCCTTAAATTAGTTTGTCGTAGGATGTTGGAGTGTTGTGGTGCGTAGGTTTAAGTTTGTTAATTAGGTTAGTTTTTTTAATTAATTGATTTGTCAATTTTGTTAATTATATAATTGGTGTATGAATCTATGCATATGTTACTTTTTCGCATTATCTTAGTTTGTTAATTACGTTAATTAGTTTGTTAAGTAGGTTATTTGTTAATTAGGTTAGTTTGTTAATTATATCCGTTTGTTAATTAGGTTAGTTTTTTAATGAATTAGTTTATCAATTTTGTTAATTAGTTTTTGAATTACCGATACAAAGAGTTGAAGATTTAACGGAACGATTGGCTGATGAATATGAGACATATGTTGAGATTGGTATGTCAAATAAAGATGATGAAGCGAAGCCCCATGTCTTAGGTACTTCAAAACAAGGAGGAGGAGGAAAAGATGAATAAGACGAAGAAGAATGAGACAAAGAATATTAAAATAGTTAGTATTATCTTAATTCTTAAAATTCAAAACCTTAAGCATAGTTACTATATTGTATAAACTCAAAACTTAAACATTTATGTTTAGTCTTGAAACTTTTGTAATATTTGTGTCAATTATTATGTTGTATTGTAGATCACCTTGTTCGGGTTCAAATGGATACAGGCATGGGGTCGAGGACTCTGCATGAAGGGGATGAGCTCGAGGTATTCGAGGGCGAGGTGGTTGTGCCAAAACACGTGACGCTCATAAAGTCACACAACCTCCCTTGCCTCCACTACCTTCTATCCCTTCTTTAATTAATTAAATAATTGATGCAATAACTATTAAAGAAAAATAGATTAATAATACCAACAAGGTGTTAGTTGAGGTGGTTAGCGCCTTTAATTCCCATAAGGTTTGATCCCCGGTTACACTAAATACAGAAAACCTTGTATAATAAATTTGTCAAAATTCCAAAAATATTTTTCTCCTTTAAAAAGTATTCTTTTTCTTTTGTAATAATTTTTTTTTGAAAATAATTTAGTTTTCTCTTTAATCATAAAAATATTTTTTTTGATTTATTTTTGTGAGTATCATAAATATCAAAATTTTAAAACCTTTTATCAGAAATTATTTTTTGATAATAAAAGGATACAATGCCGGGATTAGTTTGTAGTTTTTTTTTTTTTTTTTTTTTAAATACTCAAAATTTTAAAAATCTCTTCTATTCAGAGCACAGTAATTATTGTTTTCTCACTTGATAATAAACCAGGATTAAAATGGCACCAGGTACGCGGGGCATTAAGTATTGTAGTTTTTTTTTTTTTTTTTTTCACCCATTTGCGCTTATGTATCTGCCAAACCCTAAAAAAATATAATATCTTTTTTTTTTTTTTTTTTTTTTTTTCATTTGCCGCTTTGTATCTGCAAACCCTAAAAATATATATTTTTTACAATGTGAGAAGACAACTTACTTCCACACGCATGCTTTTTTTTTTTTTAATAATAAAATATGGAGAATGGGGTAGGTCAGCAGTAGTCTCCAATTTTTTTTTTACTGAAGCTTATTTTAGAAAGGCCAAAAAGAATAAAATTATCTAGTTAAATATTTTTATTTATTGGTAGGCTTAATGAACTAAATACAACATGAGTAATTTGATCGTAGATCGAATTTGGATTGAATTCTATAACATGAATCCTATTTGACAAGAGAATTAATATCCATATACATATTCACTTCACAATTAATTGGATTGAATTGGATCGGGTTAAAAGTGAATATAATGACCAAAAAGAAAAGCTTATTTAACAAGAAAGAAAAAATTAATCGGACAGTATTGACATATAATGCAGTTCATTAATATTGAGAGCGCATAAAATTATTCTTAAATAGTGTTCCCTTTAACTCATCAAATTATTAAAAATTCTTGTGATCGAGAGAACTAAAATTTGATATCTCGCTCTCTTCTCTCTCTTTATTTTAAATTTACTCTCTTCTTATTTAATTTATTATTAATTAATAAATAAAGTTTTTATATTATAATATAAAAAAAAAAACTCTTTTTTTTTTTTTTTTTGAAGATACTCTCTTCTTATTTAATTTATTATTAATTAATAAATAAAATTTTTATATTATATTATAAAAAATACTACTTCCTCAAATTCATTTAATATACTAATTAAGAAATGAAAGTTTTTCTATTTAACTGAATTTTTTTTCATTTTTTTCCTTGATTTGCCCTCAACATTGCATTAAGTACATCATTCTTTTTTTAAAGTCAGATATCTAATGTTGGCTTCATCTATAATGTTATTTAATGACTTTAACCCAAAATTAATATATCCAATACAAAAAATGACCATATGAGCAATGATTTAAAATCCCCTCCTACTTTTTGCTTTTGGAGGAAAATTTACACTGAATTGTTAATCTTAAAAATATGCATATTTAGTAATTAAAATATAGAGAAACATTTTATTTCAGAGCCAAAGTTTTTAGAACCTCAGCTGTCTCCTCAATTTCTCCACAAACATATAAATAACAACACTTCACATCTATTTTTATATATATATATATATCAACATGTGAGAGAGAGAAAAAAAAAAAGTTTTACTTCTATAACTTCATCACGTACGTTGGATCTTAAAGCCCTACATCTTAATTCCCCCTTTAGTCTTGAAAATATTCACTCCTCGTCACAAAGATTTATGGACTTGACTTCATATGAAAATAAAGCCCATAACATGAAAATTTCGTATACTTTTTTTTTTTCTAAATGGAAAGAAAAAGGGATGATAGTTTTGCATTAGTAGCCTAAGTACATTTAATGTATTAAATGTATTTTGTCTGCCATTTTTTTTTTTTTTTTTTTTTTGTTTTTTTTTTTTGTTATTTTCACATATTAATGAAATAAAGCAAGCTAAATAAAGGGCAAAATGAACTTTACTTTTACTTTATTTCAAATATAATAAATTTGTCTATTTAAATGAATTAGATTGTAATTTTATAAACTAATTTTTTATAAAAAATAAATTAAATGAGTAACTTTAAAATTATAAAATAATAATGAATGTTCTAATCAATGACATAACAATAACGATGTCGTCAATCGTCATGACAACATATATAGTGTTAGGATCTTCATTTTTCTAAACCAAAAATTTCCATGCCACTTACATTAAAATACATTTGACCGTAGAAAATTTGTCTAGCTCTATGTTAAAAAAGGATTTTGCCTAATTTGTCTTTTACTGAAAAAAGTAAAATATTAAGAAAGAGATATAATAATAATTAATTATTAATTAATGTATATCTATAATATAATATATATAAATATAATATATATAAAAACATACAAATGGTGGACATGTCGAGTTCCTAAAAAACCTCATCTACTAAGTTTCATTTGAATTGAAAAGAAAATATCGTATTACTAATTCTATTTCTTAACTATGATTGTCCAAAACACTTATTCTATTTATCATTATATTTATATTAATATTATAAATTTAATCATATTCTAATTAGGTATTTGTCCTATTATATCACTATATATGTTTAGTTTTAATTGCTTTTAACTATTAAGAATTTGTTACTTTTGACTATCAAGAATTATCACATCAAGCTTTGCTAATTTGAAAATATTGAGTTTGCAATCATGTCTTCTTATAGATTATTTTTGCTGTAAGTATAATTTTAACTCTCAATCTATTTAAAAAAATAGATTATTTTTACTTATAGTTCTTATAATTTAGATCTATAGATTTTATAGATTAATTATAATCTTTTAATAATCATGAATAATTATAAGCTTACAAGCTTTGCCTCTTAAATAAGCTTATCATAAAATATCAGAAAGAAATAGACTCTCTAATTAGAAAAATTTTAATTATTTATCGATTAAAATTATATAATAATTTTTAATTAGATTGATTATATTAGTTTCCTTAATCATATTAAAATTATATAATAATTTTTAATTAGATTGATTATATTAGTTTCCTTAATCATATTATTTTTATTAATTAACAAATCTTGTTCCATTATTTTTCTAAGAGTTGACAAACGTTCTACAAACTTGTTAGCAACGGATTTCCGTTTCTAAAGTTATAACAAAAATTATTTTTTCCACTGCTGAGAGTTGGTTCTGCAGACAGATTAGAAACGGAATATTTATCCGTTGCTAAAAATGTAACCAAAATTCAGTTCCATTTTCACTGCATGTCGCTTCTCCGCCACATCTTTAGTATGTTTGCGCTTCCTTTTCTCTTTTGTTCCTCCCTTTATTTTATATTTTATTAATAAAAATTTAAATGTTTATCTCGATTGTAAGATTAATATAATATCTTTTATTTTTTATTTTTTTAGTCTTAAGTATTTTAATGGAAGTAAGATAACCATGAGAATTTTAATATTGAAATTATAATATAATAAATCATAATTTTTTTGTGTATAGAAATTTCAAATTATGTGTGTGTATGTGTGTGGGCGCGCGCGCTTCCGCGAACGTGAGAGAGAATATTGAGTTCTAAACGCCCCTGCAAACTTTTAATTTTAATTAGAATAATTTAGTCTTATTCTAATTAGAAAACCCTTAATTTTATTAGTTGATTAATTAAAAATATCCTTAAAAATAATTTAGTCCTATTCTAATTAGAAAATTTTAAAATTCTTATACGTTTATGTCACGACCCATTTCCATGGGCCGGACCGGCACTAGGGCCCAGGTAAGCTTAAGGCCCCCGAGGCCCGTAGTAAGCCTGAAACACTACTAAGCTTAAAGCCCCCGAAGGCCCGATAGTAAGCCTGGAAACACTACAACCAAATTGCCTATCTCAATCATATTTTAAACATGTTTACAAATTTCACTAGTTTTAATAAAAACAGGACTCAACAGAATTATCTCCATCTATAATAATAACCAACAAAACTTAAAGTATTACAAATCATAAACTGCGGACTATAACTGCGGAGTTTACTGACGGATGTATACATATAAGTCTTCGGACATTTATCTATTTAATTGATCAATACTAAAATTAGCGAATTTCTTTTTTAAGGGCAAAGAGCAGAGTTATAGCTAGGATTTAGAAAATGCTACTTCCTGAAAGATTTGAACAAAAGAGATGTGAGTTTATTAATGAATAATAATAGTTAACAATATAAAGTAAATAGTGATGATAGTAAAATAATTAGAATACTTTATTTACTATGTATTAAGTTATAGAATTATTCTAAATAAACCTATTACTTTATATTGTTAACTAAGACTAGCACACTTATTAACACTCTTCATATAATCACATCACGTGGAAATTAGTCCGATGGAGTCACCGAAACCCCCGATGAGCCGTCCTCCCGCATGGCTCATGCCTTCACATGTGCCACCAGGGAGCGCGATTCCCCCATACTGGTCCGACGGTCTAATCCTCACATTGGACCAGCCCTCTCATTTTTCTTTCCAATTCTCTCTTTTCTTTTCCCATACCAAACAGGAGGCAACCCGGTCGTCTCATCCAAATCGTAGTCACTCAGGCGCTCACAAACAGGAAGGCCACGCCCTCGGCGGCTGCGATCAATCTAGATTATCCTGGTGCGCCCAATAAAGAAGCCAACCATGTTGGTTAACGAGGTAACCCGGTAACGAGGTAAGTGCACCACGGGGGCGCGAATCTCCCCATTTACCGGCTAACAAGAAAACAGAATCAGGATCCATATACGAGAAATCAGAATCAGGATCCGATAACAGAGAAACAGTTCTTACAAAAACCCATGGTGACCCCACTTTCCCAATCTTCCACACAAACAAGCAACAGCAACATCACAAACACAATAAATCAAACATTGCATTCAAATTTCAGACATATTATTCAATTAGACCATCTCGTAATGCAATGCACAATTAACACATCCAAAAACTCAATGCAAAATAAATAAA